TAAACACTCACTGCATGGGAAAAAGACTTTTGGAACGGAGAGAAAGAGGGATCGGAGAAAGAGAGAAGAGAGAGAGGAGCGCTTTTTACGTGTACACAAATACACGAGGGGGTTGCATTTATCGTTGCAAGAGAGTAAAAAGTATAATGCCCATGCGGCGGCAGCTTCGGCAAGTTCGCTTCTATATAGTACATCTCCGAGATCGTCTCGTTTTATTTTATTCTCTCTAGACTGTCTCTCCTTCTGAAAACTCCGGTATCGATTTGAAAAATAAATCTAAAGAGTACTTTTTGAAAAACGTTCACGGCCGTGTCTTCGGCAAAGCTCGCGAGCGAGGCCTCTTCCGTACGACAAACAATGGTCGTTGGCTTATCGATTTTTCGCCGAACTCGCTAGCAGCTACTAGCTCGCTCACGCGCATTGACCGCAGACGGTGAACTCGTAGTAAAGCACACCCGAGCAGCGGTATTACCATTACATTTGGCAATATCCTCGCGCTAAAGCTGAACAATTCAATTAGCTTATCATCCGACTCTCATCGCAATTGGTCAATGAGCAAGCTGTTGTTTTGTTTTGTTTTTTTTTTTTCGTTCTCTCTCTTTGATTCCGCGTGCGTACACAAACGCGCACGAGTACTCGTATGTGAAAAAAAATTTTTTTTTTTGGGAAAAAATTGCGCGCAGATAGCATTCAGCTTGCACAAATGGAAAACAATGAAAAGTTCTGCGAATGCTCGATAAAATTAAACGCTATGCTTAGCTGAGCTCGTTCGACCTGGCCGTTCACTTTTATTCTCTTTCTCTCTCTCTCTCTCGCTGGCGCGCAATCGCCACCAACAATGAAAAGTTGTTCTTGGAATAGATTTTTTTTACTCACCCGCAAGCAATAGAGAATTAATTAGCACGTGAAATCATTGCCCCGAAGTGGACCATGAAAGCGCGTGCGCCTTTATATGTGTGTGTGTGTATCTATCCCGACGGCCGCCTGCACCGCCACCGGCTTTCGAAATTACGATTCAGGGGCTTATGAAAATCTCCCCCCGCGCGTACATAACAAAAAATCCAACGCATGTTTTTCGCATATTTTTCCAATTGCTCGTTGATTACCTGGATTCGGGTATATACATAACATAACTCGTCTCTATATAATAAAATTTCGTATTATTAACAAATTGGAGCGAGAGAATTGAAAAAAGCTAGCCATATCGAGCTCGAACGCGCATCCACGTCAATTATTCAGGGTTTTCATTGATACGCCATCAGCAGATGGCAATTATATGTGAATATACATTCGAATCATTGGCGAAATTCTAGTATTAATTAACAATCAGTGTAATGGTAGAAACAGCGCTCGCTGTGTAACCTACTACGCTGCGCGAGATCAATATTGAATCATCGGTCGTTAATCGGGTTGATGCAGTTGTGCTCGGGCGCATAAAGCGCTGACTATTGGCAGCAGCAGCAGCATATCGTTTGCGTTTGGAACTCGAGATACCGCGCCACGCGCGCCTCTGTTTATAACTCACACGCACAGGTGGACTTTATTAGTCTCTTTCACTGATCAAAGCTCGCCCCAGCAACGTGTGCGCTGCTGCTCCTGTTACGCTCGACTAGGCCTCGTCAAAATAACGATGATTAAGCATTACAAGCTCATCTTTGGCTATTGCTCGCAACTGCAGGGAGAGAGTACATTATCATCTCTCTCTCTCTCTGTTGTACTTTTGTTTTGCCTAATGACACATTTCCCCGTCAGCGCGTGACAGGTTCTAAAAGCTCCGGGAAATTTATCGAATCGCAAAGTAAGCTTGCGAAAAACTAATGCGCGTTCGTGTACGTGGGTGTTTAGAATTCAGAGGCCGAGACAGGCTAAATAAGTTCCGCCGGTCTCGTTGCTTTCGTTAATAAGCGGCCGGACGGACGGACGGACGGTGTGTGGGAGTGTGCGCATGTGTTTTGTGTACAAACACACATGTAGATGCAGTTATGAAGCTCTTTTTTCCACCCTCTTTCCGACATAATTATACTCTGTTTCTGGCTTCTCTTTGCAGTGAGCGCGCACACACGCCGCGCGATACTATTAATGTTGCAACTGAAAAGCAAGTGTATACACGCTTTTGTTAATTAAATCTTCTCCATACAGCTCCTCCCGACTTCAGTCTCTCTCTTTTTCTGTGATCTCTGTGGATGAGGCATTTATTTATTGACAAATTTTGGTCGAACAACTGCGAACGAACTCGCGCTTGTATACCTTTGACTGCTACTCGCTCCGTTCCCGGTACATATATCGAATCTACTTCGGGCAAAGTTTGTCAAGCTTCTGCCACTGGTTTCACCGCGCGCGCGCGACGAATAAACTCGAGCTCAATGCCACGATCCTCTTTCGCTCGAGTTTTCTTTTCCTCTTCCACTTGGTCGATGCATTCTTTACGACCTTTTACTTTTCCAAAACTACTTCCAAGACTCCCTGATATATACGTATATGTATCTGTAGACGGAAGTACGCTTGAGATTTTCCGAAGCAAAAAATTTACTCGCGCGGGAGCGACGATAGCACGAAGTATGCGTCTGCGCGAATGTTTGCTACGATGCAAAATGTTACAACGTCGTCTCTTATACGTCGGCGTTTCTGTCGGTGTATAATTCGATAATTATAGGTGGGAAAGTTATTAGGAGTCGTATAATCGAACGATTACAGGAACGAGCCGCGGTAGTGGCGGTGGCAAATGGAAAACCGCCTCTGCGCCAGCTCGCGCGCGTACATCGCCAAGCACGATGATTGATTTAACGTCGAAAGCTCCTCTATCTCTCTCACAGTCTCTCTCTCTCTCTCTCTCTCTCTCTCTCTCTCTCTCTCTGTCGCTTTTATAAGGCTAATTACGCGGGTACACCTGCACCGTGCGATTGATACGCGCGTAGGTGTGTCTTCGCGCGCGTAGTCGAGCTGCTGCAACTTATACACCCCCGCTCGTGCACCTAGACGAGGCGCACATTATATAGCCATATAGTCGAACCGAGAGATCCTATCTATGTATATAACAACATGCGTCTAGGAGAGCTTCGTACGACTGAAACTTTAGCCATTGAAAGCAAGCGAAACGGTCCTCCCCGTATACGTATAGAGCGAGAGCTCCTGTGCAAGCCTCGCTGCTTGACTCTCTCTCTCACTCCCTTGCTCAACCGGAGGCAAAGTTATAGAAGCTCGCGCTAATTTGCTCTGATTTTGGAATTTATTAGCCTACACTTTGGGAGAACGATCGCGTGTGTGCGTTTATTACCTCTCTACCATCCCTCCCGCGCTGGAATTGCCCTTTTTTCATTTCGAGCACATTCACAAGACTCCGAGGCTTATAATTCTAGTTACGAAAATTTGAGTAACGACTTGGAAGCTCGTGCCGTCTGCTCTCGTTCGTGCTCGGATTTCGTTGCGAGAGAAGCACACACACACACACACACACACAGAGCTCTAATTCGCGTTCACGGGCGAGAAAGTGTGCGCATCGTCGTAGTCGCTCCAACGCACGCGGCTCTCGCGACGTTAACACGACGACGAGTTACGTAAGATCGATCGCGAGCTGGAAAATTTGCTCGACGCGTTTTGCACGTAGGTGAATATTTTCCTTTCATGCGCGCTCGTATATATGCGCTTATACTGCACCGGCTGCACGCGCGCGTAGATGCGCTCGCTCGGACATAAACGCAGCAAGCTACGCGTGTATACATATTTGCGCTTTCCTACATGGTCGCCTGGTTTTCCTGCCTGCTTTTTTTCTTCTAACGCGTCGTGAGCCCAAAGTAGCAGCGAGCTCGTAATTTATTATTTAAACTCTTTTCCAAAGTATATAGACGCAAGGCGCGCGCGCGCGACTACAGGTGAATGGTTACACTATATGTATTTGCTTTTGTCGAGCGATTACGAATTCCTGGTTGATGAGTCAGAGACGCGAGCCGAGCAGCCGCGCGTTTATTGGCTTTTTTTCAAACGACTGCCGTTATTGTCTCGAGCATTAGCTTATTAAATTTATGTATATCAACTGGACAAACATGACATCATTGACGCATTCTTGACTTCAATATTTGAACTTGAACCCAGTGCAACATCGGCCGCTCTCGTTTTGACAGAATTTTTCTTTTTTTTTTTTTAATTTTGTTCCGATACCTAAATACTTTGTGCAGTGTATGATTCACTCTGTAAATTCGCTGAATTGGTCGAAAGTTGAAAATATCGAATAAGAAATTGCACTTGGCTGCAGTAGATGCAGCACGCGATAGCAAGGCTTATCCAATAATATTCCTAGTACATAAATTATCGCACTCCCTCGTGTGCGCTTGGAAAAAACATCCACGCGCAAGAGTGTATCTGTAAAAGTTGGCGCTAATTCTACATCCGCGTATACAAATGCGCGAACAAAGTGCAGCGCTACGCATTGTTCAACAGAGATCGTATTCTCGCGCGTCAAGTATGTGCGTATATGTATGTACTCATTGTATTTATGAATGTACAGCCGACAAAAGAAGTCGAGCTCGATCGAGCGGTACTCTCGTGCATTGGTGCAGAATTATCGGGCCGCAACATCGGCGGCCAGCCGCACGCAGAGGTACAAACGAAATCTCGCTTTATTATCAGCGAGAGATGCGTGAAAAATTACAGCTTGAGCAGTTAATCATCGTTGGTGGACAAGGAAAATGGAGTTACATTTTCCGTATAGCTTGGGTTCTCTCCTAATATTGGCCAGAAAAACGTAGGTGGTGCGTACTGGAACGAAGAGCTCGCGCGAGGTTCATTCCTCTCGCAAAATACATACACTCACACTCGCATTACACCACACTGTATATCATAAGTACACGTATATATGTATGAGTAATATTTTTCAAGAGAAGGATCACTGGACCCGACGATGCGCACTCTAGACAGATACACATGTTTCTCTATATTATCATAATGCTAGGATAAATCAAATGCAATAACTCGTAACTGTACAAAACGCTCTCTGCATTTTATAGGTACAACCCACTCGCTCGTCGACGTCATCCTGAACTGCCAGGGAAATCCTCATGAAAGACTGGGAACTCAGTACTCAGAATAGCATCGGTATCGTAGACATTTCTGTTCTTTTTCTCTCAACCATTGCCTCTTCAAACTCTATCACTTTAATTATTTTACTCAGCTCAAGCGTATCCTGATCCTCTATACAGCAGATCACGCTTGAAATCGGCCGCAACGCGAAGTATATACGCTGCTTTTATATTTTTCTCATTTATTTTTTTCTTTTATTTAATTATGAGTTATCCGAGTTCGAGAGTCGATTTTGTAAAAATACATTTATCTAACGAGTTTTTCTCTGTAACGAGACCGAACTTTGGTATTTCACAATTACTCGTTAAAGTCGCGGGAATATTGAAATATCCACTGGCGAAGCGATAGTAAATGAAGCTTACAAATTATTTGCGCTACGTCACAAACGAGAAAATAGAATTACGCGTGCGAATGAGCGAATAAAATGTGTATCTATCTCGTGTTACCATTATAATATAATATCGCTCCGTTGTAAGCCAGCTATATACGTACAGTCTACTGCGAACTCTCTCTCTCTCTCTCTCTCGAGCGCGAACGATAACTTGTTTTACTTGAAACAAAGGTGCAATAATTGAATTCCCCGAGTCGTTGCCGGAGCATACTTGCAATACGTATATACACACAGCGCACAAACAAACGGCGGCATTTTCTCTGTTTATATTTATATAGCCGCGCGGCTATAACACAATATTGGCCAGCGGGGCTCTATCGACGACTCAATCAAAAATCCGGAAGCGAGCTTATAATACGTAGCAGTAGTATACTCGCGGCGGTCGCCAAGCTGGAGAAAAGAGGAAAAAAATACCGGTTATCGCTGCGGAGAAAACAATCAGTCCGTGGGCGATTCGTTCCGAGCGCGGCGCGCTACACGATCTCCGCGACTTATACATATATTACATTATAACGTCGCGCTCGCTGCACGCATTACAATATGCTTATCCGCATAGTATTGAGAGACGGAGAAAATATTTTAGTCATGGACGACGATGCGGCTGTCGCAATTGCGCTAATGCACACGCAAGAGTAACACAGTGTCCAATGTAGCTGCTGGACACGACGCGATGCTTAGATGGAAAAACCGGTCGACCTCGTGTGGTCATGTACCGATCCGCCGTTGGGGCCGCCGTTCGCTACTGCTGCAACGGTATATATCACGCAAAACCTCTGCTCCTGCTCAGCGATTGATTTTTTTCAATAGAGCCTCGTGTTTGCCCCGCTTCGGTGGTATATGTATACGGTAGCACTCGTTCGGCGAATAGTTCGGAAAATTGCAACGCGCTGCGGTTTCGTCGTTGAATTTTAATGTAATTTCAATACATTTTGTTGCAAAAATACTTACACGGATGGGGACGCGTGCCGCCGTCGCGTGGATGTAATACGTCGCGGGCTTTTACGCAATGCAACTACGCGGCTGGACGCTCGACGACGACGCTTTTACCTCGTGTATAACTGCAGGTCTCGCTCTTTTTCCATGTTTTTATTTCAATGCAAATGTTTTCGTCTAAACATACGCTGATAGCTGTTGTGCAGCTCTTAAATCCGTAGCTGCGTAAAGAGTCAATTTTCCCGATAAATCCTATAGAGCTACACTCGTGCGCGCAACGTAGTTCGAAGGGGAGATACGCTGCTAAACAAACAAGAAATCATTTACGGAGGATTAGGCGTCGGGATTACTGCCCTCTACCGTCCCTTGATTCAGTACGTCTTATTAATATTAATTCGAAGTTATTTCATCTGAGCCATTCATTGAACGCAACGCATTAGGTATCGGATTGCAAACTACTTGTCACCCTCGCGCAGAATCTGCATTCATAATTCATTTCAAATAATCAGCTCGTTAATACAATTACGAAGGTAGCAGATTTTTCTGCTCGACTGAGTCTCTCTTCAGCTAGTCTTTTTAAATCTTGTTTTATGTACACGGCTCACGCGCGACCGAGCGATGATGCACACGCGTGAATTTTCTCCACTTTTGGTGCGGCATTTATAATTTTGTGTGTATATACGCGTATACGTCATCGCCAAAGGGCGAGGGTTTACGATATGTACGAGCGAACGAATGAATAGATGCACGCTCGCGAGCGGCGCCGTACCATTTCTCGGGCTTGCACGAATTCACGGCCACTTGAATCGCGGACAGATTCGCGTAATGCGCATCAGTTGAAGATGTTGGTCTTTTGTATCAACCCTCGCGTGCAGCATACACGAATTGGCACAAAAGCAGCTTTGGATGCTCGTACGTGTGTGTGTGCGTGCGCAGCAATGACAACGGCACACGTCGAGCGTAATGTGTGTGCACCACTCGAACGTCAGGCGGAGCGCAAATTTTTCAAGTGATGCACGTATATTCGCGGTCTTATTCGCGTCGTGTGTGTTGATGTGTGTTTATACCCGGGCAGGAAATAGACGCGAACTGAAAGAAGCTCTGCACGTTCGCGTGTATACAAACACAAAAGCTCATTAGACAGTAACGGCGATGAATATAAATCGCGATCGGGGGTGCGAGCTGCTTTATAAGTGAGTCCGTACATGTATACACTCGCTCGACATAATAGATTTTCCCTTAGCGTTGAAAAGTTCATCCGTTGATTGTGCGCTGTATTTTTGAGAGTTTCTTTTTCATTCTTTTTTCATTGACTGCGTGACGCGTTAGAGCTTGAATCATGACGAAGAAAGCAGCAAGAACAGCAGCAGCAGCAGCAGCAGTAGCACTGGAAGTAGTAGTAGCTACTCGACGACGTTTAATTAAAATTAATTGCGCGAACGTTTACGCTCCGGCAAAAACGTACATAAACGCTACATTTAAACGTGCGTTTCTTACGTGCATTTTCCGCCTGGCTTTATGTTCTTTGAAAAATGGCGAACAGATGAGCGAGAAAGAGAAAGAACGAGAGGGAGCGAGAGAGAGAGAGAAAATCAGCAACTTTTTCTAATTGACTTGTCCTATAACTCACTGATTTATCTTCAAAGCGCATTCGCAAAAGTTCCAAACGAGTACTCGTAGAAGAATCTCTTGGCTTTTCGCACACACATCATTGGGACAAGAAAGAGAGAGAGAGAAAGAAAACGACAAACCTTTCGAAAGATGCACGTATATATTGGCGCGTTGTGAAAAAGCTCGCGCGCAGCTCGGGGTTCTGGACATTCTTTCGTACATTTACCTGGGCCTTGGTAATTGTGTCAGAGAATTTAATGTTCACCCGCACACCGCAGCACACACCTTTATCGGCTGTGAACATCGCGAATCGAAGATGACCTCAATGAATACACGCTGCTGCTGCTGCGCGCATTTCTTTGTTGTTGCGTTGATATGTTAGAGAGAAGGAGAGAAAGAGACATTCTCGGCGTTGCGAGCGAGAAAGTGAGCCTGGATCGAGATTTTTCGTCGCAGCGCAATTAAAATTGCAATTTACCGGCGACGAAACTTTCCAGATTTATTTTTCGCGCGCTTTAATTGATGATCAGCTGTTGCGGCGCGCCGAACCTATACGCGACTTTTCGATGAGAGCTGGTTTGACCGGAGGAAGAGAGAGAGAAATCCAGCACTGGACGCACACGCGACGGTTAAGTGCATCGCACAAATACGAATTGCAGCTCGGGCCCTCGTATACGATTCGGCAGCTCGCGTCGATGAGTCATCGGCGTTTCGCACGCACATGCGTATACACATATACTGAGCAACACGCTCGCAGCAGCGAATTTAACCGAATCATCGCCGAGCTAATTTGAAACACCTGCTTTCACCGGCTCCGATCTTGCGCAACCTTTTCGTATACGTATATATATAAGTATAGCACACACGTCTATACACACATGTACGCAAATGTATATCGTAGGGACACATACATACTCGCAGCGATCCTTTTTTTTTCTCAGAAAGATCTGCGAAGGATTCGCGTGCGTTCTCACGCTCGGCGAATTTCGCAACATATATAAATGTAAGATATATGTGTGTGTGCGTAGTAGCGCCCCGATCGGTGGTTGTAAGGTATATCGTCGCGCCGCGCCCGGAAATTCGTGTCCTAAAGGACTCGTTTTGTGCGCGCGCGATCCGAGCGAATCAAGGTTTTTCAATCGTGTCACCCGATGTCGTCGCCTATATTATACGTATAGCGCGTATCGATCATTTTATTACGTCCTCTCCACGCTCGGCTCCTTTTCTCCTCCTTTTTTCTTCGCTCGAATTTCCGTTCGTCAAAGGAATGACGAGGACTCGCGCAGCTTCGTATACAAACGGCTTTTTGTGTTTATCCTGAGTAAGTGCATGAAAAATTCTGTATCGATCAATGCGTAACGATTATCCGCGCGCACGCGACACGTCACGGCTTATATCGCTCTCTGTCTCTCTCGCGAGTCTCTGAAGCGAGCTGTGCCGCAGATTTATCGCACACGAATTGCAGCCTATGTACGCATAGAACTTATTGTGCTTTATGTATACCCATTGACTTTCTCGCGCGAGCTACCTTACATCGCACATAACTAGGCTTTATGCGCAGAGACCGCGAGTGAAATGTAACATTATGTAAATATAGTAGCGAGAGGGGTGCGCAATCGTGTCATTTGTACACGATAATATAATGCGATAAAGAAAAAAAAAGAAGTATTCCTCGTCGGAATTGCCCAACTGCAATTAGTTATTGCGCGTGTAGTCGTTGATCCTACTGCTACAATACATACGTGGCTGGCAGCTGTATATACACGACCACTTCGTGCTCTCGACTCGCACACATGCATAATATTGAATCATCGACGGCTTTCCGCTCTCTCGGAAGCGTTTCATTACCGCCGCCTTGCTGTGCGTGCTGCAGTTTTCGAGAAAAAACATTTTCGCATTTTTCATCGTCAAGCGTGTGTGATACACCTTCGAAGCGACCATCATTTCGCCATTAAAGTAATAAGAGCCGCTGCTCGACGAGGCGAGCTTGGACGGAGGAAAAAAAAGGAGAGTGAGAGAGAGAGAGATGATGCGTTCCTCGTTACATGCGTTCACTCAAGTACATACGTACGAACAAAAC